GGTGCCCTCTTCGTGGGGGGGGGGGGGGGAGTGGGTTTCTTCTAATTAATAAGTCTAATGTAATGGAAAACCCTTTTACAGCTCTGCTTGTTCCAGAGCATTGGTACCTATAGGTTTAAAGGGAGAAAAGTTGGCCTGGTAGCTCGTACTTTCTAAAATGGGCTCCTAGCTGGGGTGACAGCAAAACAGTCAAAAGTGACTTCTGCATGGGATGTGGTACGTGGTACTTTTCCATTAGCAGCTCCTATTTGCACATGTAAAAGCTGGTTGAACCCAAGGAGAGCATTGCATCTCCGACAAACTAACTGGGACCCTTTGAGATGCTTCTGCAATGCTCAGACCCCACTCTGAGCAAAACTAGGTAAAAACCCAACTCGCTGTTATCTCCAGGTAGTAACTAGAGAAAGCTCGGAGCAGCAACTGCAATAGACAGCACCAGAGGACTCCTTAGAGGAGGAGAGACCTGAAGGGCTGCAAGGAGAAAACTCATCTATGGCCAGAGGGACTTCATCATAGAATAGTTTGGATTGGAAGGGACCTTTAAAGGTCATCTAGTCCAACCCCCCTGCAATGAGCAGGGACATCTTCAACTAGATCAGGTTACTCAGAGCCCCGTCCAACCTGACCTGGAATGTTTTCAAGGAAGGTAGAGTTGCTTCAAATATCTTTTTCAGGGCATATGGTTAGTGGTACTGAAGCTATGTGTCTCGGTCTACTGCTCCACAGTGGTAGCCAGTGGGCGTGCAAAATACTGCGTAATGAAATAATGTTTTAATACTAGTTGGCACAAGCTTGGAGCCATGCCAGCTCGTGGAGTTTCGGGGCTTGGCACTCGTACCTTTATGCTGGAGACATGTGCAAGGTCCTGCTTCCTCGAAGGTCCTCTGGTCCTGTTAGCTGCAAGGAGGAGGTGGCTTTATTGTCCTGCTGTGGCTCAAAAGCTTAGTGGACTCTTGGGCCATGTCATTTCACTGTCACTACCATAATTTCGGTTTGCCTGGAAGGCTTAGCAGAGCTGGTAGGTAGTGGTGAACCCTCCCTAGCTTCCCTCAGGTCACTTCTCATGGCATGAAAATGCTGCTGCTGAAGGATGCCAGAAGCACACACCTACCTCCCAAACACCTCTGCTGTTCATCCTTCTGACCTGCAGGTGCATACATTGCCTCTGGTCACTTTGGAGCTGGGTCCTTTGGCTTTGCTCAGCTTTAGACTGGCAAATGCCGAGGGTCCTCCAGATTTTTTTGACTGATGTTGCATTGAAGATCAGCACAGCCCGCACACGTGTATTGGTTCAGCTCTGCTTGTTAACGTAACCTCTCTAATTTTCTTTGCAGTAAAACGATGTAAGGAACCAAAGGAAGAGAGGCGTCCCTGGAAGATATGGTGAGATGTTTAATTTGGAGCTTGAAAAGACCATGTATCTGTAATATTATTATTCTCTTATACTAACAATCTTCTAGGCTGTCTGAATATCCTGCATGGTATTTAGTCATTAAATGAAATGCTCTGCTGCCGCTTCCCAAGGGAAACCTCCGTAAAGTAGCTGGTGCTCCCTAGAAGTAATATTCCCTGCTCCCTAGAAGTAATACTCCCTGCCTAGCTCCTCCAGAAAAGCTTGGTTTTGCTGTAGGTGACTGAACCGAGAGGTTATGGTCCTCTCCAATCTGCTGGCATACCTGCACGTGGGCTGTCTCCCAGACAGGGTCAAGTTTTGTTCTTAAATTTGATTAATCGCTTTGGTGTCCCCTGACCCAGCTCAGGCATAGACCAGGCAACGTGTTTGGCTGTGTGTTGATGTAAGGTAGCTGGGTATTGCTGTCAGCTTCGGACACCTCTACAAAGCATCTCTGTGTTGTGGGATTTACTGGCTGCCAAGAGGTGGGCGTATGGGTGGGCTCAGTGTACGGTCAGGCTGGCTGGGCAGCACAGAGCTACCAGCCAACGTTAGTGATGAAAAGCCTGTTAGTCTTCTCAGTTTGGTTCTTCCTCTAAAATAATTTGGGAATTCAATCCAACTCCCTGTGGACAGGTGCAAAAATCGTAAGTAGCTGAACACCTTCCCTGTGCCTACTGCTGGTTGGAGAAACTGAGGCTGGGCGGGGCACTGGAGGGTGAACTGCCCTTCGCTGCAGGCTAAAACTCAGCAAGTGTCAGGTGCAGATGTGCAAGACTGAGCTGCTACGTGCTGAAGTGCTATCTTTTTTTTCTTAAGTATTTGGAGTCAGCCAAACTGTCCGTTTTCACCATGTACAACTTCTTGGGCATCAGGAATGCATCTTGGAGGAAAGCAGATCCATGCAGGGCCTTCACGTGGGTGACTGCTGGGTTGCTGGTTCTCCAGGGCACAGATATTTATGCCTTTTTTTTTTTTTGCCTCCAGGTTTTATGATACCTCCAAGCAAGCAATAGGTGCCCTCTTCATCCACTTTGTCAATATTTTTCTGTCGGATCTAAATGAAGAGGACCCTTGCTCTCTGTAAGTACACAAGGTGCTTGCATTCATGTCCTACATCTGTAAAAGGAGGAAGCAAGCCTGTTGGAAAACGTCATATATGGTGGAAACATCCATTTAAAGTACCAGGTGGGGACAAACCATGCTGAGCTTATTTTCAGGGTCTGGGTTGTCTCCTGGTCTTTGTAGTCTCCTGGTCTGATGGAGATGAGGCAGTGCTACTGTGCTTTTCTGAGGATTAAAAGCACCTTGAAATATACTGGCAAAAAGCCGCAATAAATGACGCAGCGCTGCTCCACGCAGTTGCAACTGTTACATACTGTGCCATTTGTTTGCACACCGGGTTTTGCAATTTGGCTGGTCTCGGAGCAGTATTGAGAATGCTTTCCTAACTGCGGGGGAAGGTCTTTGTCCAATGTAAGGATGGTTTTTTGGATATTTGGTTGCACCTACCGCATGTATTCCTGTAGTCCTGTTTGGGGGCTTTCTAAGCCAGACTTCAGACTTAACGTAGAAGTACCACCTTTACTTCAGACCAGCCACTTCACAGCTGCGAATTTAGTTTCAGAATTAACTTTATCCTGTTTTGAGAAACTCCTCTAGGCTTCATAAATGCTGCTGAAAACCTTCTGGCCCATCTCCTTTTTGTATGTTGAAGTGCTGCACCTTGATACATTTCTTTAAACAGACCCAATTTTGGCTTGGGCTAAATATAACCTCTAATATGATTCACTGCTTTTTAAACAGACGCTGTCTTAAAATAAACCGTTTTGTGCTTATGCTGTGCCCTTTAGTTGTTTGGTTTTTGGTTGGTTTGTTTTTTCCCTTAATATGTTCTATGTTTCCCTGTGCTGCCTGACTTGTCGTCCTGAATCAGGCAGCTTAAAACTCTCAAGCCCTGTCTCTAGGCTTTGAGGCTCATACGCTACGTGTCCTGCCCAGTATAAACCACCAGAGCCTCATGTTTGTATCGGAGTACTCCGACTTCAGCAGCTGGAAACTGTAATAAGCTAGTCTGAGCCTTTGGATGTAGAAAAACTTAATGTCGTGTTTTCAAAATGGATATCAAAAGCAGATTGTTATTTTCAGTGTCTTTATGATACTTTCAGAGGCAGTATCAAGTTCTGGAAAAGGAAGTGTTCATTCCTGTAGCTCTGTGCTTGGTATTTTCTTCACACTGTAGAAATTTGGCCCGATCTAGCAGAAAATATTCCAGTAATGGAAAACTGGCCATAAAACATTAGTCTGAGTGATATTTTTTTTTTCTTTTCTCTGGAGTTCATTAAAATATCAAGCCCTGGATTAGAGCTTGGACCCTGCAATCCCCAGAAGGTCCCTGCAGGTCTCCTGCCTCTGGCGCTCTATCCAGCAAGGCTTAAATATCCAAAGCTGCAGAGCAAACCCATCAGGCCCAAATGTCCTGGTGGGGATGGGTTCAGCTCCTGGATGTGCAGTGGGGACCCTGAACCGGAGGCTTTTGGGGACCCCAGGATGCCTCCTGTTGAGCCAGGGCTTGTTGCCTCTCCCAAGACTTTCTGCCTCTCAGTCTGCGTCCCTGCTCATAGGAGCCTCTTGCAGCTGCTCAGTAAAATGGACTTTTTGCCTCTGCTGCTGCACAGTTTGCAGAGCAGCTGTGGTGTCCAAGAAGCTTCCTTTTTCTTGTATGAAATTCTAAAAATGTTTGGTTCTGTTTCCCTGAAACTTGGGACTTCATCCTAATAAGAACAAAAGACGCTGCAAGTGGAAAGCTTCTTTTTTGGGGGGTAACTCTTAAGCAAGGCTAGCCCAGGAAGTATTTAATGCTTTATGAATAAATGAGCAATGCCAGAGGGTTGGTGGAGCCTGCTCCCTTCTCTGCTGAACAGGCTTTTAAACTAAGAAATTGCTGGTAAGGCTATAGGTAAATCCAATAAAAGAGAAAGGAAGTGAGCTTGGACTATTAAGTGGGGATTTTTGAAGTCTTTGGGTTTTTTATGGATTCCCATAATGAAATAAAAGACTTTGAATATGACTTAACACAACTTGAATTTTCCTCTGCTTTTAGCTACCTTATTAATGTCATTCTTGATGCCACACTGGGGATGCTGCTCGTCTGGCCTGGTATGAAAGCTGTTTCCTGGATCATGCAGCACAAGAAGTGCACGTACCTGGTCTTCGGAGAATATGGTAGGTGTCAACCGCTCTGCACAAAGGTGGTTCGTTTGCCGTCAGCTGTGAATGGGGAGAAGAAAAGGGCAGAAACTACAGTTTGGGGTTAAAACACGTGAGCAGCCTGCTTCTGTTATCCCCTCTCCAAGGAGCTCACGGAGCATGGTAGTGATCAGCGTGTTAAATGCTGGGACATCCCTAGGTTGCAGGTAACTCTGCCTGCTGCCTCGCCAAGCACTCTTGGGCGTAGCAGGTTGGCAATGAAAGGTTAAACATTTCCTTGGGTGGATTTATACCCCAGGACATGTGTATGATAAACTAAGGTGTTTGGGTGTGGTGGTGGTGATTTTTGTGGGGTTCTTCCTAGCCTCTCAGTTCAAAACATGGGGTTGTTCTTGAATTTGCCTTGAGCTGTAGTAGGCATCAGCAGGACACAGCCTGGCCCCAAAACTGAGTTCTCAAATGACTTGTGGGGTTTTGTGGGGGATTTTTTGATCTTAAAAAAAAAAAAAGCCCGAGTCTGGCCTGTCTCTGCTTTGATTCCTGCCTTGAGATGGAGAAAAATAGTTTCAGAAAAGCTTTTCTCAGCCAGCCCCACTAGAGGGTAGCACTTCTCTTCGGAAAGAGCAGAGCCAGTGCTTCTCCGTGGCTGCAGGAAAGGGAAAAATTACCCTTTTGCCTATTTTAAGTTGTATCTAATATAAAGATGAATTCAGTCTTACTTTCGAAAATATATCCTATTCATACCAGTCACTTTCCTATCTTTAAGACCTTAATCATTCTGAAGGTAGTCTCATTCCTTTTGTATTTTTAGTAGCTGTTCTAATAACTGAGCTGGTGGAACTTGGACCAAACTGAGATTAGTGCAGAGATCCCACTGACTTGTGAGCTTTTACTCAGGATCATGTTCAGCATATGTAAGTGGGTCATGGCACAGGATGAAGGGGATGGTTGGGTTTGTGAGACAACAGAAGCAGCTACAGAGTCGGAATGAGATGACAACAGATGGGTTGAAATGATGGGACGTGGCAGGGCTGGCTCTCATCAACCCTGAGAGCGGTTTTAAAGGTTGCAGTGGTCTCCAGAGCAGGTTCAGCATCCTGACGGCATGCATTTGGTGGGGACTACCTTTTTTCCCCCTAATGGCTCTTTCTCAGAGCTGAGGAGCCAAGCACAGAGCGCTGAAGTCATTCAGATGAGGCAGCACAGGAATCCAGATATTTTTGGTTCAGGGACTGGCATTTTTCCTCTTTTGAGCAACAAGGACTTGAAGCCCAACTGCAGCCATCCCAGGGCACAGCTTCATGCACCACGTTTGCAGCTGAGCAGAAGCAAGGAAATGTTAAAGTGTATTGACAGCTTGCTTTAACCTTGCAGAGCAGTAGTGAACATCCGTTGAGCTGTAGCTGGCCCCTCATGAAGGCTGGCTTAGACTACAGAAACAGTTCACTCCTCTGAGGAATCTTGCTTTTGGGACGTGGCAGGGCTGGCTCTCATCAACCCTGAGAGCGGTTTTAAAGGTTGCAGTGGTCTCCAGAGCAGGTTCAGCATCCTGACGGCATGCATTTGGTGGGGACTACCTTTTTTCCCCCTAATGGCTCTTTCTCAGAGCTGAGGAGCCAAGCACAGAGCGCTGAAGTCATTCAGATGAGGCAGCACAGGAATCCAGATATTTTTGGTTCAGGGACTGGCATTTTTCCTCTTTTGAGCAACAAGGACTTGAAGCCCAACTGCAGCCATCCCAGGGCACAGCTTCATGCACCACGTTTGCAGCTGAGCAGAAGCAAGGAAATGTTAAAGTGTATTGACAGCTTGCTTTAACCTTGCAGAGCAGTAGTGAACATCCGTTGAGCTGTAGCTGGCCCCTCATGAAGGCTGGCTTAGACTACAGAAACAGTTCACTCCTCTGAGGAAATCTTGCTTTCGTTAATAAAAAAAAAATGTTTCTGCTGTTGCTTGAATTTAGCTTTTGAATTGGGGATTAAATACCTCATCCACTGAGCGCTGCTCTTCGTGCAGGTCTCTGGCCAGAGTGACCACGATGGAGAAGCTAGATAGCAGTCAAGTGGCATGTCCAATGCAATCCTGTGTAGGGCTAGGGAAGCAAAACACCTGCTATCCTCATCTCGGGTGTTAAGTAACTTCCAAAATAGTTTGGAAGATGCTAGTGAACTTTGTACAGTTTGATACAGGCTCCAGAAATATGATTCATTTTCTGGTCTAATTGCTGTACCAGACTTTATGTTTCTTTGCTCAATTCTCCTGAGGAGCAAAAGCAGCTCTTGCAGTCCTGCAGAGGAGGAAGGGCAGAAAAGCACCAAATCCATGTTGCAGACAGTGGTGAGTGCTATTGGTCCAACCATCAGGAAAGAACAGTTGTGTCTTTGTCCAGTATAGCCAGCACCCATCTACCTGCATGCTCTTCGAGCAAAAAAAAAAAAAAAAAAAAAAAATCTGCTGCAACTGCTTCCTTTCTGACCCTCCAGTTCTTGGTTGCATCCCTGCAACTGATGCAAACCACTGCAGTTATCCTTTGTTTTGGGCTCCAGCAGTCCCTTCTGCTCTGCTGTTGGTATGCCTGTCTCCACGGCCCCGAGTGGTTCTCCCTGTGTGACTGCAATAGCTGCATTAATGGAGAAGCAAAGAAAAGGGAAGGGAAAGCACCTAAATCTATGCTGCTATTTTAAGCATCCAGCTGTCCAGAACTGTTTAGAAAAATGTATTACTTTCATATTTAAAAAAAAAAAACAGGAGACAGCTATTCTGAGATCAGCCTCTCTTGTGCCTGAGCTCTTAGCCAAAGACTGCTGCAGCCAGGAATGACCTGGTTTTTAGCTAGTGGAGCGTGAAAGGCTCCTATATGCTTATGTTCCTCCATCTTTGCCCAACAGCTCTTGATTACTCTTTGGACTGCATCTAAGCACAGGAAACTGCATTTTAAAAGGCTGCTGTCTCTTCTGCAGAAGCTTGGCTCCTAAGGCCAAAGACTGGAGAGGTTTGTTCTTCATCTTGGTTCAAGTAGGCTTTGGAGAATGATGGTTGCCTTACACATACTCAAAGCTAACAAACTCCACGAATGCTCTATGCATTGTTGCCCTAGCAGGGTAGCAGCAGGTCATGTCTATAGGTGCTCTTGCTGTGGGGGGCTTCCACAGGGAGGAGAGCAGAGCAGAGTTTAAGCTGCAAAGGACTTGGGAGGTGGTTACCCAAGGTCTTGGAGGTGCTGCTGGGTCTGTACAGACTGAGCAGGGGAGATGCTGGCTGGAGTCAGAGTGTGCAGATGAAGTCTGGTTCAGCTTTGTGCTCCACCTCCAAACTGCTCCAGCCCTCTTCTCCCTCACCCATTCCCATGGCAATAAGTAGCTCCCTAGAGGGAACCTCTGGATGGCTGCAGTGTCCTGGCATTGTAGTTGTGTCTAATAACTCTAGAGTATTACTTTAGAAATACTGGAGTATTTCTTTTAGGTAAGCAAACACTATGAATTTGCATTAAGAGATGGTTTCTGCAATGTGCAAGTAAAATGCTGAAGAGGAGCATTAAGAAATGATGGGGAGAAAAAGAGGGTGCTCTTGCTTGAAAATGCCTCTCTGGATGCCCATCTGGATGCTGACTTGTGTACGACTGTGGTTGTGGTCGCTGACTAGTCTAAGCTTGACACTTTGTGCTCATTCACTGTCTGGAAATGGAAAGGCTTGTTGCTCGGAGGCCTTTAAAGTCTGTTTAGTGGCCTGTTGAACTCTGGTCAAATTTAGTTGTAGGAGAATATGCTCTGTGCCAGCTGCTGAGTTTAACTGAGGACCTGTGTAGGCTGCGTTTGGCCCTGTTGTGATGTTGTACAAAAAAATTCCGTAACAAAGATTCCCATGTCCTGAAGCAGCCAAGGGAGCTGGCTGCTAATGCTTGAGGAAATATTGCTGAAAATAGCTCTAACCTGAGGGGCTGTCCCGTCCTTAGCATGCTTGGCCTTTCCACCTCCAGGACCAGGGAGAAAAAGTAAGGAGAGGACTGAGGATCATCCTCAAATGGTGAAGCGTGTGGCCAGGTCCCCTGCTTTGAGTCTTTGAACCTTCCTGGATCTGGCTGATAGCAGCAGGGTTTACCCCAATGCAACAGCAGTATCTCCAGGGACCAAAGACCCAGAGCAGCAGTGTGACGCTGCAAACTGGGGACTGATTCCAGCTCTACACTCTTGTATTTCAGATGCAGAACATGCCAGAGAGGGTTTGGGATGTCCACTGGACCCATCTGGCTGCTCTGATGCCAACTGGTTCTGCCCATAAGTGGTGCAATTGCCGGTCAGGTCCCAATCTCTGAAAACTTGTTCTTGCCCTCAAAGTGAGCACTTCTGTGCAATTCATATTCTTTCCTGTTATGTCTTACCCTCCTCTGTACTTGGCACTGATAATTAGATCCCTTGGTTTTGGAGGTACTGTTTGAGTATCTCTTAAGAGGTTTTTACTGACTTTTTCTGTCCCCACCATGTCACCCAGTGCCTTTCAAATATTCATATCGGTGCTTTCAAATATTCGCTTTTCCTCAACCCCCCTGAACCCTCTGCTATGGCTGTGGTTAGCTTTTTTCCTACCTGCTCGGTGCTCACACAGTCCCCAAAAGACTGTAAATAAAGCTGTCTGGCAGTAACGTGTGGGCTATGCTGACAGCTTGGTACCTCAGACAGCCTGGATTAAAACTAATCCTGTTGTGTGGTAACAACTCAAATATCTCAAGCAGTGCTGCTTTTGCTCTGCGAGCAGTTGGGCTCCCACACATAAGCGGGATATGAGACACGTGTGTCTGTGTGAGGTTGCTGCAGGCACCAGTGTTCCTAGGTCTGCACCAAGGAGGTGTTGCTGATGGTGGGGTGGGGAGCACCAGCAATGCTGCTGGAGGAGAAAGCTCTGAATGCAGTGTGTGCATCCTTCGGGGTGAAGGGGGATATTTATTTCTATCAGGGTGGGAGATGGCTATAAGAAGATTTGAGCAAAGGGTGTTTGTTAAGCTAAAAGGAGAGGCTGGT